GGGGTGGTTGCTGTAGAACGAAAAGGAATAGATCTACCACTAGAACAGCCCTGACACTGATGTTTTAGAAAAAGCAGTGTGGAACGTGAGAAACGGAAGGGGACATTTATTGTAAACCCAACAACGAAAGCAGGGACGAAGCAAAAAGTATCAAGAATATGGTTTCAAGGATATACATAAATGTAGACAAAAGGTTAAAGATGTTGAAACTCGGCTGCCTTAAAATTACAAAGTTCTATCTAACATTTTTGGCCGTTTTGAGTTACTAAGACCATGAGATGAGAAAGCAAAATATTCGGTCTGCTCTATCAAAAGTGTAAGATTATTTGGGTATCAAGATATTCAAATAACTGAATTCGAAAAAGCTTGACATGTTATGAAACTCAATAATTTTAACGCCAAATTTCTCAAAATTAGGTACTTAGAAGATAAAACTTTGTAATTCTAGGGTAACAAATTTATAACACACACCTAAACACACACATACACACATGCGCACACCTACACATACACACACATACATACACACACACACACACACACACACACACACACACACACACACACACAAGAAAACTCACCATCTTTGTTCATGCCTGCCTCGATACACTTCTTCAAGCGGCACGCCCGGCACTGATTCCGATGTGTTTTGTCCACAGGACATGACCCCTGACCTCGAGATTTGCATATATACTGTCTGTTCCGTCTGATGGATCTCTGTGGATGGGGAGACGTTTGTTAGTTCTTCCAGTTGTAAAAGTCATTAAACAAGCGAGCGAAATCTTTAAAAAGATGAACTTCTTCTGGGAAGAGTGTGAATTTAAAAAAAGGCATAGACAGCGAGGAAGACTGTAAGAATTTTTAAAAATGAACATCATGTGGGAAGACTGTGAATTAAAAAAGAAAAGTCATCGTCAGCGAAGAAAATTATTGTGAAATTTTTAAAAATGAACATCACCTAGGAAGATTTTAAATCTTTTAAAAAGAGATTGTCCTTATCATAGAAGTTTTTGAGGAGAAGTACAAAAAAAAAAAAGAAAAAAAGAGGGG